CCCTCTCTTCTCCTCCCATGGGAGTTCAATAAGAAGAAAGAAGGAAAATTACCTAATTGTGTTGCATCGACAGACGACGACTTAAAAGCGACTTTCCACAACTTTACTCCACTTCTTGCTTGATGTACTTTTGCCCCCCTTTTTGCCACCCACTCTACCCACCCTCTGTGCCCCCTTTCTCCTTTTCCGTATGTGTGCCAAAAGGAAAATGTGCCACAAACTGCACAAAATGCGGCGAATATTTTTGTGCTGTTTGTGTGTTTGCTTTTTCTGTTTGTTGCTTCGCTTCGTTCGCTTCTTTCTCCCTCTCTTTCTCTCCTTCTCCCACTCTTTGTGTAGTTAGATAATAGCAAGTCACCGTTAAAGCACCAAAGTCGAGTTGAGCGGAGTATTATAACTCAAGCAAGACTTCCTATATTTTGAAACACGTTACGTTCGTAACATAATTCACACAACAGGTTACTCAGACAGCGTCGAAAGAGACGGGTATAGGCCGTTGCGATAGAGACAGCGATAGCCAAGACAGCCAGCTAAGGAGGCTACAAAAACAACAAATCGCACTAGTGGAGTAATACGAGTATTAGTGTACTAGGTTTTGGTGGGTTTTCGGTGCGGGCAGAAATTGGGAAACATGGGGAAATGATGATCGTGAGAAAAGATTGCGGGAAATTGTCAGAAGTGCAAGATGAATGGGCCGCCAGTTGGGTGGAGATCGTTGAAAACAGATGCAAGTGCAGAACTAAGTAGATTGCATAGGAAAGTTAGGGATATAAATTTCGAATGCCGGAAACAGCCAGTCAGTTTATTTTTTTTTGGTATTTTATTTTGCTGAAATAACTTTTAGTCTTTGAAATTGATCATCTTAAATATTCACCTAAAAAGATTTTTTTAGTAGGAAATTTTTGTTCTTTGTTTACAAAACAAATTCTTAAAAGATTAATAAGTAATTTGAAGAGTACGATCGCCAACAAAAACTGTTTATATATATTTTAAAAAATACTTTAATGATCTAGCTACTATTTACGTACATATTTCATTTTATGGTTTAGCTCTCTATCATTTAACCGCATAATAAAAATTGCATTACTCGGAAATATAGCGAGTATCACTGTGAATCATTTCCTGAAAGCTGGAATTATTCCGAACATGATCTCATTGACATTAAGACACAACATCAAAGTTTCCTGTGAGCAACCGCTATAGATATTCCCACTGTGCACTGACGACACATCCTTAATGGCAACTCCCAAAATCCCCAAAGCTCACCCACTGTTGTTGTTGCCAGGTAAAACAGAGACAGAGAGAAGAGTGTGAAGAGAGGGGGAAGTGTATATTTTACCGCTTTTAATGGCAAATTCGCACGATCGTTGATTGGAGTGTTGTTGTTGTTGCTTTTCTCGCCTGCCTTTTGCACTACTTTCTTTATTTCTTTTAGCGAATTTGAGACACGACGTAATGGAAGCTGGCAGCATTTATGGCAAATTCAGGTTAGTGTGATTTCGTTGCACTATAAAATGGGTTACAATGGGATGTATAGTACGCACAAGTGGTTCGTTCGCTGCTTTATAAATGCAAATGTACAAAAACAGCGGCCAACAACAATAGCAACATCTGCTGGGCGATAACAACAATATAAACATACTTATGCACATATGTATTAATGCATCTCTGAATGTATGTAAATGTGTGGCATTTGTATTGAATGCAAGCTTCCGCATGCAAGTTACAACAAGCAACAAAAAATTCAAGCGAAATAGAAGGAAAGGAAGCGAAAGGGCAAGAAGCAGAAAATCTGCTAAAGCATTGGCCCCAACAACAAAACCAAAAATAAAGGAAAAACAAGAAGAAGACCACAACAAAAAACATTGATTTATCAGTGTGTGTGTGAGGTTTGCGAGACCTTAACCCTTGTGTGACACTAATTTGATAAACTGGGCGGTTTTGTGGTTTATCATATCTTTTCCCTTATTTGTTGTAAAACAAATAATAATTCCATTGTAGCAACTCTAAATTATACTAACTATTTGATTCGTTCAACTCTAATCACAAATTATCCATCAAATAGTTGACCCTTCTAAAGAACTTGTCATGTCGTTTTTTTCCGACTTCTTTTTAGTATTTTTTTACAAACTTGGAAAAAAGAGAGCGACACGCACACACTCACATGCACTTTTTGCTTGTTCGGCATTTTGTGTTAATATCTCAGCCGCTTTAAGGCGTTTTTTATTGTTGTTTTTGCTGCTGCTTGGCGTTTTCTTCCTCTTTCCTTCATTATTTTGCCGCTGCTTATAGTTGTCGTTGTTGCTTTTTTTGTCTTGGCTGTGATTCGCACGTGTGAGTGTGAGTGAGTCAGTTGCTGGCCGAGTGTGTGTGTGTGCGAGGGAATAGGTCGATGTTTTCTTGCTCCATCTCCCTCCCTCTCTTCCCCACGATCAACAGTTTTTATACCTGTTTGCTGTGCTCCTCCACCTTCCTCTTTTTCTTGCGATCGTCGCCTGTCTCTTTCTCTGTCCCCCTCTCCCCACCGCTAACACTTTTGACCCGCTCTCTCGCTTCCGTGCACTTGCCGTGCTCTTTCTCTTACGTCGTTTGTCTTTCGCCCCACTCACACAATCACACACTCACCCATCCATTCCCCCATTACGTTGTTTTTGCTTCTTTGCCTTTTTTTGTTGGGAGCAATGCGGAAGTGAATTTAATTTATTGTATTTACGCTGCTTTTGCCGCTTTTCTGCCGCCGGCTGGTCACCAGGCCAAGTCTCTCGGGGGGTGGCCGAAAGGGGGCGGAGAAAGAGAGAACCAGGAAAGGAAAACCGCCGTCGAGCAAAATCGCAGCTTCTACAAGTTTTATTTCGTTTCCCGCTAATTGAAGAGAGAAACTGTTTATTTTTTTGAAAAACAAATCTTAATACATCCGCACTTACAGTCATAACCAGGTAAATAGGTAAGACTCAGTATTACTACTTATGAAAATCCTTAAAAAAATATTTTAGTTTTTGATCTAATTTTTTGTATAGCCAAAACATGTACCAAACGATATAATTTAGAAAATTGTAAGTCCTTAAAAAAATAATAAAAACATATAAATTTCTTTATGAGTGATAAAACATAAAAAAATTTTGGTCATACAACCTTAATAATGAAATATCAAAATTTCACAATTCCATAATGAAAGAAACCGTTTTAGATCTCAATTCGATCATTTCCCTGTTTACCCGACTCCTGTTGTGCGTGTTTGTTTTGTACATAATGAAATTTATTGGCGTAAATTCTGCTCTCATCTAAAAAAAAATTATAAAATAACGGAGGTGGCGCACGATCAGGTGTGTGTCTAGTTGGCACCCCCCGTCCCACCCTGTGAAAATCCCCACATACCCCATATATACGACGAATACCTTATAGCTGCGGCAGAAGCAGGAACTGTTTGGCTGATTTGTTCGACGTCGTCGGTCGGCAAAGGCAAATAAATAAACACAATTCTGCTGGCTGTTTTACTTTTTTTATATACCTACTATATATGTTTGTACGTCTGTACGTTTATATGAGTGTGAATATTTCTTTTCGCCATAGCGCCAATGCGATAAGATTTCGCTGACGCTTGCCAGAGTCGCCGAAGTCGGAGTCACCCTAATTGGAGCTCAACGCTCCGCTTTTGTTTCACTTCACTTCCATAGAAAAGTGCATGCAACAAGAGACTCGTGAACCGAACAGAAGAATCATTCCCGAATGCTCGGTTCTATAACATATAGCCAGCCATATAGCATATAGCATACCGATATGCAGTCCAAGACATGCACTGAGCTCTCGATAATTACGGTTTTCTTTATTTTCGAAGCGGAAAACTTGGGACTAGCCAATGTGATGCAACAGGCATTACGAAAAGCACCCCAGGTACCGTAATATGGAGTGGCGTGGAATGTGAATAGGAAAAGCTATTTTCCAAGTGAATCGATCTTGTTTGTATCGTAGAATGCTAAGGAATCAGTGGAGCGTGCAATGAATACAATACAACTCGAAATAGTTGGCCTGGGAAGAGAAATTACTATCATATCATATTATAATGGTTCTCGACCGCATGATTTTTTAGATCAAGTTCCAGTCGTTAACTTTTCATTTTATTTATAAGAAATCTGGTCAATATAAAATCTGATAAATTTAAATATAAATTAGTACTTAGTAAAAGCAATCTGATAACCAAAATATTAATTAAACTTTGAAACACACCCATAAAATTGTAACTCTTAATATTTAAACAAGCCCCAATGAAAATGCCACAATCAGATTCTCTAAAATAACACGCAAATAAATCAAATAAAACCTTAGATAAACCGTTGTTGCCGAGTCTTCCATCTCTCGTATATAGTACGCTCCAAATATAGCCCCAAGTTATCTGTTTACACGTGTAGATCCGACAAATTGTTGACCTCAACCGGAGACCAAAAACTCAAACATTGTAAGACGTTGGGTGGAGCGAAGTGGAGAAGTCATATTTAGCAGATAACCAACAGCAGATTAAGGTGGAGCAATTATTTATCAGCTGCTCAGACAAGACAGTTTTTGTGTTTTCATGACCATTGTGACGTAGTTATGGGAAATACATGTACCAAAAGATGGTGTTTTAACCATTTCGTAATAAAGCAAAAATGATTATGGGCTGATGCTGATACAAGGAAAACGTCTGTTAACACTGTTTAAAGAAAAAACCTGTAATGGCTTGGAACTTGTCAAATTTAAAGACTATAAAAAAGGCATATTTTTAAAATTTTATGTCTATTATATACATGACTTGAATGCTTACAAATGTTATCTTTTTTATTTCAAAGTCCTAATAATAGTTCGAATGAACAAAACAAAGTGTACTTTTAAGTTTTTTTGGTTCTTAAAAATTCCTATAGCGTAGATTGTACTTGAATTTTGAGTGAGATTAAACTTGCATCGTTTCTTCCCATAAATCAGTGATTATACGCCAGTTAGATGGTACATTTTTTCCATTTTCTTACCTGTTTGCTCCACTGTGCACGGTGGTGACGAACTGTGAGGTGAGCGAGTGATTTTGTCTGTTTGCGCTGGGCTTCGGATTCGATTCTTGAGCTTTTTAGCGACAGAAGCAACGCGGAAGCGGATATGTCCAGATCCCAGAATGCTTTAGCTTTTTGCTTTGTTTTTGTTGTTGTTAATTCGATGTTTTTCTTGTTGTTATCTGCTGATGACGAAGAGGGCGTCGCGCCAAGTTGCCATTGTTGTTTTTGTGTTTCTGTTTCTTTTTCGTGGGGGGTAATCAGTGGGCGGTGGTTGTGTGCTTTTGGGGCTAATCCTGGCTCTCTGTTTTTGTTTTTATTTTCGCTTCGTTCTGCGACGAATGCCAGCCGCAAAGCGGAGCAAATAAAGAAGGCGCAGCGCAGAAGAACAAGTCAAACGTTTCTACTTCCGCCGCCTCACCAACACACTCGCACAGGCACACTCAAGCTAACACACAAACGCACACGCACACTGTAAGACACTCACGCGATGCACTTGCACTCTGGCGTTTTGTTCGTGTATTTATTGTGCTTCTTGTTGTTGTTGTTGCTGTACTTTAGCATTTCCTCTTTCGTCTTCCTTTTCACTTTTGCTTACACTTCTTGTTGCGTTGCTGTTGTTGTTGTCGTCGCTCTTGTTTATTTCTTATTTCCGTTTCGCGCACACACTCTCGCACTTTGGGCAAAGTAAAGTAAACACACGCCCGCGTTAAGTTGGCTGCGGGAAGAACCGTTATTCCTCAACGACTCAACGCGCACAGGAGTTAAATTCTATTAATTGTGAATTAATCAATTTAAAACATATTAGTTTGGCATTTACAGCGAATGTCTAGTTGCTTTCAGGAGCGACACTTGAGCACGTCCGCCTCCCACGACAGTTTCTAGCGTTTTGCTGGCGATTTGGTGGCGATTCGATTTCGGGCGAACAAAGCAGCGGCGTCGCTGCCAGCGCATGTGCCGAACGAGCGGAGAGAGCCGGAAAGAGCGAGAATGGGGAAGGGAAGAGAGCGCGAGCGAACGTGTTTGCTCTTGTCCGTCTTTGCGCTCTCTGAGAACTGGCGCCTCGCGAAGAATACGAAAATAAGATAATTATTTAAGGAAGTCGCGCTTTGATCCGTTTTAGAGTCCAAGATTTATATCTTAAGCCGGAACCGTATTTTTTAAGTACAGTGGAAGCTTGTTGTAGTCTGTTAAACAAAAAAATAAATTGGGGAAGATTCCTAACAAATTTTTAATAAAATAAATATGATTTGTAGTTAAATAAAAATATTTTTCCAATTGCATACACTGTATTAAGTTATGAAGAAAATGACGCATATCAATTAACAGTCAGGTTATACATAAATATTTTATTTGGATAGTTTGAGTACTTTTAAACAGGCAATCGGCCCTGTTCTAGTTTTCACTTCCGAAAGATTCACACGGAATCGAATTTCTTAGACCAGTTTCAGGACTCACCTCCGAAAGAATTGCAAGGATTTCAAAATCCCTCGTTGTTACTCTGTTAACTTCCGAAAAATTCACATGGAAACTTTCCGCCAAGCATTTGACAGGCGGACTTAAATCCGCTAGCATGAAATGAAATTCACTTCCGAGTGAAAACTCGAACAGGCCGGAAAATCTATTAAAAGCCAAAAGTTACTAGGGTTAAGCAAAGAACAAGTCGATTGGTTTTCACGAAAACATAAAACAAAATCATTTTTAAATATTTAAACTTGTTATTTCACAACAATCATTTTCGTAATGTTTAAAATTCCTGAATTCCCACAATTGCGATCATAATCTCGATTATGTTATTATACTCTGGCGTGTATACAAATGCAAAGACTACAAACAAATCATTAGGTGCGTAAGCACTAACAGATTTCTTTCCACTTCCTTGGCAACAAAAGAAACAACAACTTTTAAGGTAATAATTTAAAATCCACCAAGTTTACTATGGAACAACTCAATAGGAACCCGATTTCTGTGGGCGGCGTCGAATTCGCGTGGGGCCCTCGATTTAGTTGTTAATCAATAGAAGATAAAGTTTAAACAAACGATTCATGCTGATACCAGAGACATGGGCGTCGAAAAAGTGGGGGTTTACTTATAAATATCCAAAGAAATTAAAATCGTTCGCCATATAATTTTCACAATTTTCCAAACGTTCAAGATTTAAGTTTAGAAAAAATATTGTATCATACAGATATAATGATATTGCAAAATCTAACAGTTTTAGTAGCCAGTCGATTATGATTGTTGAGAATTTGCGAGCTTTGCCCATATAAACATAGATAAGAAAATACGTGGAACTGTAATCAGTGTGAGATAGTCTTCCTAACTTTATTTAAAATAATTATGTATTCGGTACCCCGGTGAAAAAAATTAAGCGCCACGCGCCTAAGAAAAAAATAACCCTCTATTGTAATACAAAATGTTCCGAGGTGCTAGCTGATATGTGTTTTCGATCCCATAAATCTTGAATCTTCATGGAAACCAGTTGGCAATCTTTAATTATAAATTGTTGGAACATTTCCGCTCCGCTGCGACTGGAAATCTCTTTGGAAAAGGGGGCGGGGTTCGGGGCTTTAAAGTGGATGGGTTCCTCGTCAGGTTGGTCGATTGGTCGGTGGGTCTAAAGATGCGCTCAGTTGCACTGCATCCGCTTTGGGGTCTCGAGTCGCCTCAGTTGGTTAACCAGTTTCTCCCCGAGCAGCGTTAACGTTGACATTTCAAGTCAAATGCCCATAAACGGCGACCAGCCGGACGACCCCGCCCACGCCCTCCACTCCCATCCCTCAGTTCCGTGGCCCTGCACTTCAAGAAAATTTAGTATCCCAAGGGTATAGTTATTTATTTTGTATTTCTCAAGAAATCATAAGAATTTAATTAAAAACGAGGACGGAAGCTAACTTCGGCAAGCCGAAGTTTTAATACCCTTGCAGATTTTACGAATTAAAACTTGACTAGACTAGCAACATGAATTAATAAACAACAAAATATTTTATAATTGAAAAGATAAATTTTTAAAATTTTTCACTCTATTGTTCCTATGGGAGCTATAGGATATAGACGCCCGATCGGCACGCGCGTTTACCCTAATGAAGGTACGCACAAAAAAATACGATTTGGAAAGTTTCATGGGAATAGCTAATATTTTGCGCGAAATATCCTGAAAAACGTCAAATTTTGACCGATTTCACCCTATTGTTCCTATGGGAGCTATAAGATATAGACGTCCGATCGGCACGCGCTTTTACCCTGATCAAGGTACGCACAAAAAAATACGATTTGGAAAGATTCATGCCAATAGCTCTTACACTGAGCGAAATATCTTCATTTTTGTGAAAGCTATATCCGATTGTTCCTATGGGAGCTATAGGATATAGACGTCCGATCGGGTCGGCTTTCAAACTTGATCTGCGTACACATGTTCTAGGACGACTGTGAAAGTTTCAAGGCGCTAGCTTTTAAACTGAGCTCGCAAACGGTATTGAAACAGACATACAGACGGACAGACGGACAGACGGACAGACGGACATGGCTATATCGATTCCCCTATTGATCCTGATCAAGAATATATATACTTTATGGGGTCGGAAACGTCTCCTTCACTGCGTTACAAACTTCTGACCAAAATTATAATACCCTCTGCAAGGGTATAAAAAATTATTTATAGGCAAATAAGAAATGTCGGATTTTTAAATTACTTTTGATTATGTTTCTAATAATATAATGAATAATACTTAGGTACACTTAAGGCTAGACCTAACATTATAAAACTATAATAAATAAAATAAAATTAATTCCTAATTTCCTGTAATTTTATACTAAGCAGAAAAAAATGAAAAATATTACAGGATATTACAAAAGAATTATTGTAAGCATACATGCTCTTTCTTAAAATAGGTTTAAAACTAAAGCTGCTTATTTATTTTTTGGATTCCAGATTATTAAAAAAATATTCGAAATCATTTTCTTTCTTTCTTTTTTTTTTTGAACTAAAGCTGCTCATTTATTTTTTGGATTCCAGATTATTAAAATAATATTCGAAATAATTTGGATCTTTCTTACCTCTTTTTTGAAATCGGTAAATTTTTTCAAGTGAAATCTTTAGCTACGATGGTGATGACGACGTTTCCAAGTGATCGCCACAACGACGATCACTGGCCCAAATTAGTAGCTTCGGTCATGGTGCGTCGCCCAGCGGGAAATTCCACGGTGAAGGGGTGGGAAAGTGGGGTGGGTGGGTAGATGTAGAAGGGGGCGGAGGAGGAGGAGGAGGAAGAAGAGGAAGAGCCGCCGATGAGGATCGCACAGGGGTCAGAGTTCAAATAGTCGTCCAATTGAGCCAATCAGCATTTGTACGTCTGTATTTTGCCATTGCAATGCAACCAGTTTACTTCTGGTACGCGCGTCACCTCCCACTCTTTTCTCTATATATTTCCATCCCCCCGATTTCTTCTTCGGGTGATCGCTATAGTCACAGCTCTTAGTTCTTAGTTCTTAGTTCGATGCCTAAGTGCAGATAATTCATTAAAATAGAATGCCAATGTCCAGAGGCAGCCAAGTGGCATCCACTTGTGCTCTAGAATCAGACACCAAAACACAGATATACCCGCACATAACATATATGCACATATAGATGGAGAGCCACGCCAGACAGGCAGCGATTTGATATATGCCCTGCTCTATAAGGTATAGTCCCAGATCTATAAATAAATCTGGTCGCAGCCCCGAGAAAGTCGCCTCCCGATGCGGAAGTATTTCCAGACGATAGTTCGTTTCTTGTTCTTTGCTCTTTTGCCCCTTTTCCCGTTGTTGTTGGTAATTTGCCAATTACTAAACATATGAAGGTGGTGGTGAGGTAAGCGGTAAGGTAAGGTGTGCGACAAGTGAAGGAAGAACAAACGAACGAATGTCTGGAGCGGATATATCAAAATCACATATTTATAGGAAAAGTACAGAGAAAATTGATTTAAGGAACTTTAGTTTTAATTTAAACGTTATTTACTTCAGTAACATTTTGTAAACTCTTTTAAATATGTATTTACTGTAATATAATCTTAAAATATACTATGGATCTTAATGCATTGAGATTTTATTAACCCCATAGATTCTGTAGTACCTATAGAACCTTACAGTACGTACAAAAAAAAATACAATTACAATTTACAGAATCTCTATAAATTGTCTAATTAGTTTTCAAAGAAAAAAACCTTAATTTCTCTAATTATTTATTTCATTACAGAGGTTTATTATTGATCCCAGGGGGTGTATCCGAACACACAACTATCCCACCCCTGCAGAAGCAGATCCAAAGGGAATCGCCCTCTTAAACCACCCACATAACATTTCGTAATTTTTCAGGATTAGGTAAATAAAGACCCAGGAAGATCCTTTTCGTTACACTTTTTTTTTTTCTTTCCTAAACTCAATTGAATTGTGTTCCTCTTGGATTTCATCTGAAAAGGATATTACGCAGAGATCCTGTGCAATGATCCTCGACCTGAATTCGAGACATGGCCTAATTGTTACACATTCCCCTCCGGGCAACAATGGGTAATTGTAAGATTTTTGCCGCCATCGCACGCATTAAGGATTTGCCCTAACAGTTGTGCGTCTGCAGGATATGAAATGTGCACCCAGCTACAAAAAAAAGAAGAAGGAAAGAAGAAACCGTGGGAAACCTGCCCGAATGTCTGGGTTCGGCTCGAAGTTAAGGAAGAGAGTCGTCGAGAGA